CAAAAAAATGCAGTTTTCTTCAAAAAACTTTTATATCTTTTACTTTTAAGGGTTAAAAAGGTACTTTCTGAACTAATCTCCTTCACGTTAATTTTGTTTGTTTGTTTATATTAAGTTATTCGGTTTTTTTAAATTTGATTTGTTTGTTTCTTTTTTAAATTTATTTATTCGTATGTTTTCAGTCTTAACCAAAATGAGAGCTTTGTTTATATTAAGTTATTAGGGTTTTTATGTATTTACTTGTTTGTTTCCTCTTTTGGGGTTTATTTATTTGTATGTTTTCAGTCTTAACCAAATATGAGCTTATTAGTTCACAACTATATGAAGATATAATATCAACCGTATAAGGTTAAGAAAGGCAGCAACAATTTTATAGCGCTTTGAGATTGTTGATACGATGGAAAGCGTATAAGCATGACAATAATTTATTGATTTAGTTATTTTTGAAGGACTATTCGGGCATGGAAATTATTCTGATTTTTGTTTGATAAAAATATTGTTGAACTGAGGTTGTATTCGTTGCATCCAACCAAGTTAGTCCAAGAAAATATTTGTATTAGCTTTGTCCCTCTTAAAACAACAATCATTCAAACTAGACACGCACATGGGTCAAATAATTTTAATCTTTTCTTCAGTTCTACCATACCAGCAAAAAAATTACACTACGGAATAAGACATGACTTGTTAAGGTATTGTATCGGGACGACTACGGATCTGTAGGAGGGGATGTACCAATTTTGTTGAGGGTAGGGAAGGTCATGTAGGTACGTAGGCAAGGCCAGGGTTCACGTTACATATCGAAAATCCGTAGAAAAAAAGGCTTATTTTCCACCATATGAAGCCCTTGATGGAACGACAGTGCGGATTCATGTCAACTTCATAACAAGTCATTAATTTTTGCTGGAAAAACAAGGAAACCAAAATGTTTCGAATTGTCTCCGGTGTAAGAAACCTACCAGCGGCGCAATGATGATAAACAGAATTGAGCAAACGAAAAACAACATTGTTTGCTTTCTAGAAGTATTGTTCCATTGAGAATCCGATTGTTTTGAAGTATATTTATTTAACGGCCAGTTTGCGAAAACGGTCTTTTTGAAAAGATTGATTTATGCATCCATATCAGTTGTTCAATTTTACCTTGCATTATTTGAAAACCTTAGCTGTTTGACCTATACGTTTCGAAGCTGAACTTTTTTTTGCAGTGCATTTAATATACCCTGTGTAGCCTAATTCGACCTGGTCAATTCAAGTGTATTTGTAAATGTGGTGTTTTTTTTATTTGAAAGTCGAAGACCTTTTTTGAAGTTATTGAAGTTGGCCTATTTTTGATAGTGTAACTACGGTTATGTACACAATTGGAGAAGGTGTTTGACCTCCAAAAGTACTATGGATTTTGGAAGTCCGTGCTGATATAGGACAGGTGATCCTCTACCGGGACAAAAGGCGGTCAACAGCCCACCGATTCATACGGCCAACAATCGCCCCTTTCATTGCCCGCGTCTTTGTGCCTGCATGCGCGCCCTACCTAAACTCACCACTAGAAGTGCCATTGACCGGGTCACAGCGACACGATGACCTAACCTAGCAATGACCCCGAGACCACCAAGTTCAATGCCAAACAGGTGGGATTAATTATCACCAATTTCGCTTCAGAACCTTTGCGTGAAGAAGAAGAACATAAATCATCGCAACTGGTCAAGCTAATTAATCTCCGTAGTTCCTGTCCTCGGCCGCGTGACACCGAGAAAACTCCCCGGGGAAAAGTGGCGTGATGGGGACGGTATATGGGTACGCACCAAGCCCGCTGGCTCGTGCCTCAGGCACGTGGCCTCTAACTAAAACAACCAGTCATTAACTTCAGCACCAATTACGGTCAAATTCTGTAAACATGTCCGTTGAGACGTGGTTTTTGTGCGGGAATTTGTTGAAGTTTTGACTTTTTTCCCCCGCGGTGATTGTAAAAGAAATTTGAGGGAAGTACTGTCTGACCTTCAGAGTCTATATGAAACGGGAACGAAATAACTTCAACAAAAATCACAGTGTCAGCCTGTGGAAAGGACTCTTCTTAAAGCCAAAAAAAAAAAATCAAACAAATCATACTTTCAATTAAATGATATTTTTCAATGCTTCAAGTAAAATTGCAAAAGAACACTCTGATATAAAATTTAACCGTCAGTTTCACTGGCGCAATATTTGACTTGATATAGTTTTTTTGCCAATGCGACTTAAAAAAAGATCATTGTTTTCAACTGCCAACGTTAGAACACAGTTGTTTTCGAATTTGGACCACTTACAACCTATTGACCTTCTTTTCCTTTCGTAAAAAAATACCCCCAACATCATCGCATACATCTTGTTGGAAGGATGAATATTTCTCTTCATTCTTTTTACAAGCCTTGAAATTCGATTGCAAGCGCGCGCAATGGCCGTGGCTTTTTTGATTCGAGGTTAGCAAAATACGCCTCGGTCGATGGCGCGGCCTCGTGCATATAACGCTGACAAAAAATTACTTGATGAAGGTTGTCTCGTATTATTTTTTTGTTTACCTCGAAATTGTCCGTGTTGGTTCGTGTGGCGAGGTGATGATATTTTGACTCATATCTGCCTCGAAATGGTTAATATTTCATATTTCTTGATGTAGAGAGATAGATATCATTTTTGCGAGAGAAAGACATTCATAAAATTGGTCTTCTGTGTAGTGGTCCAGTTGCATGATATTTCAGTTTGTTTTGCCGTGGCAGTGAATGTTTTTTTTATCAACCAATTTCTAATGATCATTGGAAATGGGTAATATAACAACGAACAAAATATTGTTCTAAATGTTTCATTTATTCTTCAACTTTGAATAAAGTTGGGTTTTTTTCTTTTGTTATTCTTCTGTAAAGTTTTTTCCACGGGCATTTTAATATGAGCCTCTTTTGGCTTCTGAAAATGCCCCCATATATTGGCGTACTCCTAATTCATGTCATTAATTTGTTTTTGTTTTCAATTAGTTCTTGATTATCTGTGATTTATATACTTGTTCTGTAATTGTTTACTGTCCTTTGATTTTCACCAATATGGAAATAAATGTCTAATAGAATAGAATAGAATTGAATTGAATTGATGTGTACTTACATTTTGCTTTTGTTATAGTCAGTCAGTAAATGTGAACTGATTTTGTTTTACTCGAAAAGTCCTCTTCTAAAACATCTGGTGAATCAAACGACCCACTTTAATAGTTTTCTCTTGAAGGTATATACTGACATTTTGAGAAATCCAACACTTCAGAAATTTAATTTAATTTCATCCAAACCATGGACTCCCTCTCCTGAACACTGCTTCTCCATTGCCAACTAATTAAATATCTTCTGGTCCTCCGAGCCGAAATATAGGTGCGGGGTAATTTAGGTAACAACTAAACGAATCCTTACAAAGAGACCTAGAATTACCATCGATCAAATTCCATTGTATCCTCCTATGAAAACAACACCACCATATATAATGTCACGGTCACGTTTTTTTTTCTTTTGGAGGTAACAAAAAATAGCATTCTTATTCGCTTACTGCGGTATATTCTATAGTTGGCCCTTTTTTCTTTCGATTTCCGGCCCGTGGCCTAATATAAACCAAACGGTTAGCCCGAGTGAAACGCGTATCGCTTTCGGTTGGGTTGCCGTGGCCTTGGCCTCAATTCGTTGCGTCCTTGCTGCTGTCGCACTGACCGCTTTGAATGGAACGGCACGCGCGTACGTCAGTCTCAAGTTCTAGGTTACGCGGGGAGGGATTTTAGCGACTCGGTGGGAGGTCGAGGGCGGTGTTTCATGCCGGCTTTTTAGACCTTTCTCAAGGATACTGGAAGCCAAAGTCAGTTTCACTTTCAACTGACAAGTGATGAATTTGAAGGAAATTAAGGCTTGAGCTGGAAAGGGATTATAAATATCGGTTGTGACAATTGTTTGAATTGTATTGACGATGGCAGTGATGCGTTGATGTCTTGATGACAATGACATCCACTAGTGACCAATCATGGCAGGCAATGTCATCCAAATGGAATGGTTGGGATGGCTCCATATCAACCTCGTCCCCAGGGTGTCGAGCAGTACGCGCCCACCACTACCTGCTCTATTGGAAACGGGGTTGGAAATAAAGTAAGCACTGGGGGCGAGGTTGGCTCTATATACATGTATAGTGGCGCACTTCAACGGATACACACGACACTCCACATGCAGCGTTGCAAAACATCTTTTTTTTTTTTTTACAAACTTAAAATTCACTCAGTTAAATACAGGTACTTTTACCTTTTAACAATTTCAGTGTCATTAAATTGAGTCCGAAATTAAAAAATGGCGGCCGGTGTCCGGAAATTGGGCACAGAATCGGCCGAGTGTTCCCTAACGTGGCGCACTTGAACAAATCTCAGAAAATCACAAGTTAACATTTAATTAAGATTTTTTTGTTGTTGTAAAGTTGACAAATTCTGATAAACGATTCTAATCTCCACTCATATACCCAACTCCATGTAAAAGTTTGTCAGAAACATATTTTCTTAGTTTTGGGCGCATTTAATTTAAAAGGAATCATTGTGCACTTCAAAATAAAATCGGAAAATCACGCAAATTAAAATATCTCCGCTTACTTTGTAACGGGTTGGTAAAGTTTAGTTTTATGAACAGGAATGTTTAGAGCTTGATGATGAAATTTCACTTACCGTGAAATTATAGGCAACACTTTTACTCTAGCAAGGCACTAGAGCCAGAGGCGAAAAATCTACGGTGCGCCATTTTACCCGAGTGAATTTAGTCCACAAAAAAAACGGGGAAGAAAGTAGTAATCTTATATTCATATAGGTGAAGAATAAAAAAAAATATGTTCCCATAATAATTAATATGACAAGGTTGGATAATGACACATTAAATAGCTACATTTCGCGACAATGACACACGTACCGTACCAAATTGCACTGTGCATTGAAAATTCAACTATCCGACATACAACAGCCGTCGGATTTGGCAAAAGCGCAGGGGATGATGGGATATATTCAAGATGGCGCAGCGCATGGCTGCGAGGAATTCGCAGCAGCGTGGAAAGAAACCGAAGCATTTTCACCACACCAGTGACAAGGCTCGTCACAAGCTTGAAGTCAAACGATGGAAACTGGAAGAGGAAGAGGCTAAGCGCCTTAAATCTCGATATGAAAGTGTGAGTGAAATGATAAAAATTGAAACATAATTGGTTGCCCAGTATCCGGACGCATATCGTTACCACGTGCATGATGATAATTGACATACGGGTGCATACATCGGCGCATCATACTTCATAGTGCGCATGCGCTGCACAGGGTGATTTTTTTTTTTTTTTTTTTTTTTAGAATTTGTATGTTGCCAAGAACATATCACTAATGTCACTTGTCAGTGTTTCTTGTGACATTTTGTAAGACTACATGTACTTAACATTAGGGTGTTTGGTCAAGTGATAAAAATATCGGGGACAAAACTCGCACACGAAACAAAACTTGAATGTGAAGAGCAAAATTATAGCTGATATACTAGCTAAGGAAAAAACACAAAACTAAGGTGTTATTACAAGTAATATCTTACAATTATAATGTTCAAAAAATGAAATAAAAAGAGTGTCTGGTTTTCAAGATATAGTGAAAAATTCAACACCATCGCGGCGACCGCCCGTGTACTCACATTGATTTTACGTGTACAAACGATGCGCCCTCCCACGCCCAAGTGGCGCAACTGTCAAATCGGAGCGCTTCGGCACTGCAACCGAAATTAGCCGAGCATGCGTTAGCAACCATAGAATCGCTTTCATTGGTCCAATCGAGACAGTTCTGACGTCTGCTCTGAATATTTAAAGCATTTTTAGGGCTATGGGTCTATAGGGGAATTCTTAACCAAACACCCTATTAACACTGCTTATTAAAGTTAAGCCAACAAATCCAATTTGAAAACGTTGAATTGGAAAAAAATGTTGTAACCAACCTGATGCCACTTCTGCGATTGTGTACAAAGTCTATGGAGAGTCAAGAACATTTTCTAAGTATTTCCTAACCAAATAGGAAATATTTGTCAGTCCAAGATTCCTGTCTTATCATCATTTTTGCAAAGAATGACCTTCATTAATATGATTTGAAGAAAAAAAGTGGCATCAGGTTGCAACATTTTTTTTCCTTAACGTTAATCATGTTAATGACTAGTTGAAGTATCGTCAGCATTCTGGGATTCTGAGATGCTTTTCAAATTGGTCATTACTCTCTTGAAACTAATTTCAAGAATTGAAGAAATGAAGGTTTTTAAACTCCACTCCCCCCCCCCCCCAACTACAATATTTTCTCTAATTGAAGTTTTAAAAACAAAGCTTTTGGGATTTGGATGGAAATAAGGATGGTATGTGTATTAATAAAATATCCAAATGATTTTGCCCATAGGGCAGTTAATTAACAGAAATGATTGCAAACTCATGTAAATCTTTCAATTTTGCCACAGAATTTGCAGAAACAAAAACCCTGTAAGCTGAAAATGAGCTGAAATTTTGTTGTACTGATTTCATACATTGCTTTGTTCAACATTTCAATATTACTGTAATAATGTAGGCCTACTTACTCTTTTAATAAATAGATTGACACAGAAAACATCAGCAGTTTCGATGACCTGCCGCTCTCTGTTAAAACGCAAGCTGGGCTGCGCATTGCCAACTACAAGGCACCCACGGAGATACAGCGAGCTACCGTAGGGCTGGCACTGCAGGGACATGACATACTAGGAGCAGCCAAGACGGGGTCCGGCAAGACTCTGGCATTCCTCATTCCTGTAAGTTACATGTAGACAGATATAACCCAAACTCCCTTGGCCTTTTTGCTAGGATGTAGCCTCAATCCTGCAAAATCCTCCATTATTTCTTGAATATGGCCCATGGAGGGGTGACCACTGCCTGAATCCTGCAAAATCCTGCGGCAGTGACTGTCAACATGTTGAGGCTTGGGCAGTGACATCCTGGAGCAGTACGGAGGATTTCAAGCATAATCCAGGCCTATATTTATGCATGGCTGAGCAAAAACAACACATGGTCTGGCCCAGGACCTTGACAAAGTGCATCCTATGAAATCAGTAACACACTTTTGCCATGTCACCTCGATCCTCCAAATTCCTCCACTTTGGCAAGGAGGATTTTGAAGGATTCAGGGCGGTTAGGGAAACTGCAATTTTCTCTACCTCAATTTTTTCCTGATTGTAGTTTTAGTAATTGACGGGTAGGGTTTTAAAAACAAACATGAAAATAGATTGGTTTGTTTTGGGGCCATTGTAGACGGTAGATTTATGGTGGTGGGAAGAGAGATAAAAAAAATTGGGGGGGGGGGAGTTTGGTGTATGTAACACCACATTCATTCCTCATGTTTCATTTTTATAGCAAGTGTTTATTTAGCTGTAAATGTATGCTGCTATCTCCTTGTTATTCTTGTGCAGTGTTAAAATGTACATGTACCGTACCTTTCACAATTTAACTGTATTGTAAATGCATTCAGTTGTTACTCAGAACTTAAAATGAAAGTCATCTTTAGCCACCTTTATAAGCACATTCTTAACATCGCCAGGCAAAAGGTTCACCTGTAAAAAGTTGTTGCAAGTTGTTGCATTTAGCAGCCAACTCAAGTACCCGTGATGCTGCATCTTGTTGCATTTAGCAGGGTAACTGCTCTTAGTACCAAGGCGATACAAGAGTATTTACTCTTGCAGTTTGTTGCATTTAGCAGGGTATCTGCTCATACTGCCAAGGCAAATTCAAGAGTATCAACTGTTGCAGTTTGTTGCATTTAGCAGGGTCACTGCTTGCCAAGGCTGGTATGCACTGTGTTCACTGCACAATGCAACATAATCCACTGTTGCAGTTTGTTGCATTTAGCAGGGGTCTCATTTGAGTTGACTTGGATATTGTTGCATTTTAATAGCAGGGTTCCTGAAGAATACCTGATGGGGATTAGGGTTATAGCACAAAACAGAGTTATCGTCTGAGTCATTTGAATTGTAAGACACTGTAGCTGTTGGGTACTTTTGGATTTAGCAAGCTGTCAGAGAAAAAAAAAACGTAGAGCTTTAAGTACTTGTAAAATACTGTAGTTATTCTTAAGTTGGATTTGAATGTAGGACTGAGTAGGCATGTGATTCTTCATTTATTGCAGGTGTTGGAGTGTCTTTACAGAAGCAGGTGGAGCAGAGTGGATGGGCTAGGTGCGCTCATCATATCCCCCACACGGGAGCTGGCTTACCAGACGTTCGAGGTGCTGTGCAAAGTGGGCAAGAAACATGACTTCTCTGCAGCTCTTATCATTGGAGGAAAGGTAAGCAATGATATCAGTCCAATCTCACTAAGCAGGAATCTCACTAAGCAGGCAACGTAATCAGAACAATTTCATGTCTCTGCTAAGCACAGAGGCTTTTGGTGCGAACAAGTATTAAACAACGCTAGCAAAATTCTGCACTTAGCCTGTAAGCACAGAATGATTAGCTCCGGCACGTATGCATGCGCTACCACCAAAATTCCTAGACTTTCCTGCTAAGTTAGCAGGATTTTTCGCTAACGGTAAGCAGAGCCATCAAGTTGGGCTCTGATTCCGAGGCCTTGTCCCACGCTAAGCTCCAATGCTTTAAGAAGTGTTAACATACAACATTTTGTTGACTGTAAGTGAACAGTGTATTGTGTTACACGTACATGTATGTAGAATCACCAAATTGGGTCTTTTTGTGTATTTTGTAGAATTACGTAACTGTTTTTTGTTGTAACCTTTCTTGAAATGTCCATCTAGTGCTTCCTGTTATCTGCCAGTATGGTAGCATAGTCCGCATTTATCAATTGACATGTTTACTGTATAAGTGCGTGTTGGCCTTGTTTTTCTAGTGTGATGTTTCACTTGCAGTTTTCTGCAGGATGTTAGGAAACTTTCGTGTAGAGCTGCTAATGAGGTTGACGTATATCGTGTCCTTGCTGTCCGTTTTCTTGGTGTTTTTTTGTAGATAGTGGTGGGAGAAATCAGAGATTTCATAATCACGTTATCCCAGGTTTTTTTCAAACCGAATAACGGATATTTGATTTCACCAGAACTTCCCATCCACCTCACAGACAATGCCAACAAAAAGTGACAAGTGAGGTGCCACATGGAATGCCCTCCCAATGACTGGGTATAGTTTGCAGGATTCAATGACCAATGGGCCTTTACAAAAAAACACTCCAGAGCTGTAAGGCCAAAAAAAAAAAGTCTCCGGTTTCTGGTATGGAGCTTGCCCAAAAAGTGGTGCGGCGACGCGGCTTTTTTTTTTTTTTTACCTGTTTTTTTTTTTTTTGGCTTCAAATGTCGGCTGATGACTGCAAATGGTGCCGACTAAACTTAGTGCAAATATATGGGAGTCCAGAGAGGCCACATGAAGCTTATTCTCGATCATAACCCCATCTAAAAACACGTTAAAATTGTGCAACAGCAGGATTCCAGTCAAACCAGTGAGTTTAGCGGTTTTGAGACATCATCTTGTATTGAAAAAAACACTTTTTCATTTTGCCGACGTGCATGGCTACGGCGACGCGCACGCATACCAGAAACCGGAGACTTTTTTTGTTTGGCCTAATGTAACTAATGTTGAAAAAAAAAAATGGATGGGAACTCTCTGATAAGTCGAATGGGCAGGCTGTTCATATACCAAGAAGACCACTAGCAAGTGAATGCAGTTACAATCAGAGACCATGGAGCAAATTGGAGGATGTTCCAGTTGTTTTCTTTTGCGTGTCTCACAAAAAGTGGAAGGCTAATTTTTGTTAAAGGTTGGTTTTGAATTCCTGGTTTCCTAAAATTGAAACCGAATAATGGAATTCAAACCGAATTTTAAAAAATCCGCCTTAAAATCCGACCACTTAGTGTCATTTTGTGAGAAGTACAGACATTGTATGCCGTATGTTTTATATAATGCTCTGATCTGACCACCTTGTTAAAACCTGGCTTCAGCCGTGTCACAAATTGCAAACTTTTCAACAACAGATGTAGCAGTTTTCTTTGATTAAAATGACCATGAGATGATGCCCAAAATACAGCCATATTATTTGAACTCGGTGTCGAACAATAAAAAGAGGATTGACAGTAATCCCTATTTAATGAGCGGCAGCTGCCTTGAAATGAGCAACTGTGCATGTAATTACCCATGTGAACAGCTAGCCTGCCCTAAACACATGTACTGACTTATAGGTGCTTTGTCCTGTCAGTTTAACAAGAATTACATTCATGTTTGAAAAGCTTTTGCTCAAATGAAGGGATCAAGAAATATACAGATGGTAAATCCGTGTACTTTCAGATAACAGCAGTCTTCATAGATGACATCCATTTACATGTATTAACCCTCCTTTTGTTTGATCAGTCACAAACAGTCAAAAAGTCAATCCTATTCCCCTACCATGCCTTTCACACAGGCTAGTCACCAACAGTCAGATCGTATTTCTCGTAGGCACTGTGACAGTCAAATTCCATCAACAGACAAAAGCAGGTGACTGGTAGGCACACCTGGCTTAAATCAATCCCCTACAGTCAAAGCATAGCTCTAATCAGGGTTTATGCTGTATCACAGCCAGTCAATCCTGCTTTATGAAGGCAGGGAGCACTCAATTATTAAAAACAGTCACTTGATTTATTTTGACTGCTGCCTAGCCTTGTTGAAATTGCCAGCTAGAGAGGGAGGGTTAAATTGCATTCAATTAAAAAAAAATTGAGGAATTTAATAAAAGTTTATCAAATGTACATACTTTGTATTTTTTCCCCTGGTAACATGATCACACTTCAGAATTGTTCTTCCTCATGTTTGAGCTTTGAATTGAAAGAAGACACTCCCAAACAAGCAATTTCAGGAGATGGCAGAAAAACTCTTTAGAATGTTGTCGGGGGGGGGGGGGTTGCTAATTAGGGACAGTAGACCGAATCCACAGTGCCTGAACCACTATGCCGATATTGCCGATATGAATGCTACAGCCTCACTGAAATAGCAGAAATGAAGAATCATTTTCCAATCTGCTGTTAAATTAAAGCCATGTACATGAACAGTACGCATGATTAGCTCAACACTAAGTAAATTGAGTAAATCTACAAAAATGAAGTCGTTAGTTACGCCAGCATATTTTACTCTGCTCATTTGGTCTGAACAACTGTTGCCATTTGATTGAACCCCCTACGACTGACTTCACGGATGGAAACAAACTAAGAGAAGCTGCGTCATGCAATGTGTATTCAGAAACTAAACCCTCTCATCCATCTTCGCTGGCAGTGAATAAGGTCGATTGTCCATTACAGTCAGTGTTAAATCTTGTTAAAATGTTACTCACATTCGCTGGCAGTCTTTTCACGGCGCAATTACAGTGCACAGTTGATTTACCAGCCTGTGGCACCACAATGCTTTCTCATACAAATTGGTTTGTTTAGCTAGTGAGACAAATCAAAGCTTTGCTGCATACACTGTAAGAGGAAAATGATGTGAACAATTTTATGGGGTTTTTTTTGGGGGGGAGGGAGGGGGCGTACATTTACAAAATGAACATTTTTAGCAAAAATGATGAAGAAAATGATGTTGGTTGTTAAGTGACAGTGGCTGACTAAAAAAAAATTTTTAGATTTTGAGTCAAGTTTTGTCAATAAGGACTAGAGCTGTGCATTGGAACAAGGTTCCCCGAGTACCTGCGCATGGATGTACCCATAACCAGTTTTACAAATAACTACATGTAAGTAACTTCTCAGACAATGAAAAAGAAAGGCTGTGAATGTCATACGTGGGGATTTTGTTTCAAATGAAAGCCAGGCTACACGGGAAAACAGAACGTAATTCATGTTTATGACACTTGCGAAAGTTGCAGTCTTCACAATAAAAGCTGTATCTTGCTGTTTTGACACACTGATGTGGCAGTATTATTGTGGGGACCTGTATGAAAATTTAATAAGGAAAAACTCAACTTTTCAACTTGTAATGGAACTTTTTTCCCATACTTGGAAATCATTTAATTAAGTCTAATTCCTAACTTGCTGACCTGTTAGAATCCATAAAAATCAATGTGACATTCTCCAAAATGTTGGGCCTTCGTGGTCCACGTAGAGTATTAATAGCGTCCCTGCATTGGATTTTGAAGCGCGTTCAAGCTTGCAAATCATACATAATTTTTGACCCTCTTTGTCTGCAGAAACACCCCTATTCTCAGTGCTTACCACTGTGTGCCTTAAAAAAAAAGGCTCAAAAGATTGTAAAAAAAAAAAGGCTCAAAAGATTGTGAAAAAAAGAAAGAATACGTTCTATTTGATTTTCTCGACATTGTCCAACATTACATGTAGGTACAGACATAATTCACTCAGTACGTCATCCGTGGCTCCGTTAATTGGCCTGGCCTCTTATCTGCGTCAAGACAAGAGCAAGCCTCATTTGAAAGTCTTAATTAGGTCCTTGAGGGAGATTTGCCATTGTTGAAAGTTCCACCGTCTGCTCATCAGGATATTAGAAGAAAAAAAACCTCATTAGGGTTAATACAGAGCTGCAAGTGGCCTTGATGCTAGACCCATTGTACACAGTTGATTTTGATTCCTTTCTGGGGTTTTTTTTTGGGGGGAAGAGATGTTCAGTCGACTCTCGTTATAACAAACTCGTTCGGACCTAGCCAAATTGTTTCTTATATCAGAATTGTGTATTAAGAGGAACATCAGTACCATTCATTGTGCACATAAATGCACAGTCGGGACCAAGGCTTTATGTTTTTTATAACCAGAATTTTGTATTAACAGAGTGTGTACTAACGAGAGTCGCCTGTAGTTAATGTAGGGGTGTCTGATTGTTACCTTCCTGGCGACAGCAAATGGTCAGTCTGACTGTTTATGCTGTAGCCCAGGCTTCTTTTGGGGGGGGGGGGGCAATTTATTATTTCTTGGACAAGGTTGAGGAGATTAGCGCAAGAGACACATGAAGGGATTTCAGCTTTGTTCTGTGTTGGGCCGTGGTCAGAGTTATGTCATTGCAATACGGGCACGAGCTGCCAATTCCATTAATGTGCCTGAATGATAACAATAGGATGATTTTTTGGAAGGTCCGTGCTCCGTAGACATGATGAACAGCTGCCGTTATAAGACAAGCAAAAATATTTAGGCAAATGCAAAAGATGTTTGGAACAACTTTCAAAGTTATGTATGTATTTAAACGAAATTAATGGGCTTTAAAAGACTACATTGCAAATGGTCTTTTCCCTGTCTGTCTTCGAGATTTACCCGAAAAGATGCAGAAGTCTTTTTTAAATTACTTACTAAATCTAGTGACATACAAAAGTTGTTCAGATAAA